CCTTGAGTTTGGCGAGCAGTCCTTCGTGCCCCACCCAATCAAAGACTGTGTTATGTCGAGGTATGCTGCCACCGTGTACTGCTTCTAGTGTATCGTGCCTGAGACGAAACCCAAATTGGTGGTTCGGAATGGCTATGTAGTATGCAGTCGTCTAGCATTTTGCCGAAAGTCGGGAGGAGGCTGATTGGCCAATGGTTGTTGAGGTCCTCTGGTGTCTCTTCTGGCTTTGGTATAATTTCCATGCTTTGGGAGTACGGTAGCCTTAGTGCTGCGTTGAGGATTAGAAGCAGATACAAAACCGCCCTGTGTGGCAGGGGTCTTCTTGGGTTTTAGCTTCCATAGATCCAGTGCCATCCACCTTCCTAACAGGAAAATGATGCGCGGAAGCATTCTGTCAGCTTCTACAAGCATAGTTTCCAGTCCCAGTCCCGTGTCCCAGTCTCTTTGCAAACCCTTGATCTTTCTCTTCAACCCCTTTTTGGAACAGTTTTGTCTCTCTTTGAGTCCTACATCATTCCGCTTCACAAAAAAGGTTCAAGATCAAATATTGAAAACTATCGAGATACCGCAAAGCTTTCCCCTATCTCAAAGCTTCTTGAGTTCCTGGTCATCCGGCAACTGCAAAATCTTTATTGCAGACTAGCCTTATTGATTTTTTTAACTTAATCCACCGTGGTTTTCAAATTGGTTTGCAGATGGATGTAGTTTTTACGGATTTTAGCAAGGCATTCGATTCTGTGAACCATGCTCTGCTTATTCACAAGCTCTTTTTATTAGGGTTCCCAACGAATCTTCTAGATTGGATTTTGTCCTGTCTATCTAACCGTACTCAATGTGTTTTCTTTTCTAATGTGTTGTCAACTATTTTGTAATGTTACTTCAGGAGTGCCACAGGGAAGTCATCTGGGCCCGCTTCTGTTTATTTTATTTGTGAGTGACCTTCCTCAAGTTATAACATACTCTACTACACTAATGTATGCTGATTGGTATTTGCACACACGCCTTCAAATGGATCTAAGTGAACTACTATTGTGATGTTTAAGTAATCTTCTAAATCTTCTAATCTTCTAACCTTTCCAAATGCAAACTTATGACATTTTACCGACGCCCTCCACATTTTGTCTCATACGTTCCAGGAAATCATGTCCTAGAGGGAATTTCGAGTTCAAATGACCTCGGAGTCCTATTTGATCATAAGATGTGTTATAACAGCCATATAGCTGCAACAGTAAATAAAGCTTAGGGTGTTTCAGCGTTCATCAAGCGTTGGTCCAAGGAGTTTGACGACCCGTACGTGACGAAAAACCTGTATATCTTGTTAGTACGTCCTGTATTGGAGTATTGAGCAGCAGGTTGTTATTGGATCGGTGCAAAAGCAATTTTTAAGTTTTGCCCTGCGTAACTTAAACTGGGGCTCAGGTAGAATCTTGCCACCCTACCGATCAAGACTAAATCTTATTGACCTGGCGTCGTTGCACCAATTAAATGAATAAATAGTGAACTTGGGTCTGCTGTCTGTTCTCTCTATTGATAGCTTCCTTCTTACACGGTTTGCCACTCTCCTGTACATTCTGTCAACCTATGGGTCCTGAGTCACTGGAGGAGTAGCATCCCTTCGATCTCGCTCGAAGTGCCGCCTCTGTCGCTTCCAGTCTGTGACGTTCGAGTGCTTTGTGCGCCGTAGGTGGCAGCAGCTGGGGAATCGACGTAGAATACAAAGAATAAAATATAATAATAATAATACAAACATCAGACGAAAAAAAAATAATTTTTTTTTTTAAATAACACCGCGGCTTTGACCGATTTTAGTGAAGTTTTGTATATATATTTAGTAGGCCAATAAGTCGTAAGATATTTTTTACCTTCCAACCAGTAACCATACATTGTAATCATGATAATATTATATTTTGTATGAACAATGTTCAAATATCCCATACAAAATGTAAACATATTCAGGAAATCTATTTGCATATGTGTGTTTTTTGTGTGTTTGTGACTGCGAAAAGTTTTCATATAGAGAAAATGGCATCGTTCGGAGCAACAGAAACAGTATTGCGGCAAATGGTTTACCATCTAGTACAGATATAAAAATCTCGTGTCGCGTTGCCTGCGGCTCCCAAACGACTTGACCAATTTTTATGAAATTTTTGTTTGTTTATTTAGTACCTATGCGAATAGGTTATAAGCTATATTTCATCATCCTGCCAACTTCACCATTTTTTAATAGAGATATCAGTCTTTGTTGAGACAACGAGCTTTTTCGCTGACAATAATTGTTAAATAAGTTCACAATTTAATGAATTTGGAAACGGTATTATTTCTATTTGTTGGTAATTGGTAATTTGTGTGTTGAGGGTGGCCGAAGATGCCGGAGTCTTTAATAATAGTATTAAAGAGTGATACACTTGGATGAGGCAAGCGAGCCGATCTCGAGCCAAAGTAATAAATTGGGGACGAAAAAGGTCTGTTCTCCAACTATATCAAGCGGTAGCTGACTAGAGCAGGCGCAGCTGCTTACGACATAGCGACGGCAAAGGAAAGAAAAGATAAAAGAGCGAGCAAAGATAAAGAATAGTTAATGAAATGAGAGCATGGTGCTGAGCGAGCAAAGGCAAAGATACGCTTACGGTACGTTAGCTTAGTGCAAATAACCAAATGAACAGAAAATGAATAAGATAGGAAATAGAAAGATGAGTAAAGAATTTACACTCGGGTTTCGCCCGGATATACTCCCCCGTGCAAGGATCCATTCCGTTCACCTCATCTCGTACATGCAATAGACATAATTTTGCAAGTGATCTTCGTCTAACACCTGTAGAAATCCTGATCAAGGCGACTCGAGATACGCCATCAGATCCTGGAATGAGCTCGAGGATTCTCGCTAGAGGCCAGTTCAGCGGAGGGAAGTTCTCGTCCTTAATAAGAACGACATTATTGACGTGAAGCTCAGGGTTCCGGGTGCGCCACTTCGTTCTTTCTTGAAGACTGGTTAAATAAGATTGGCGCCAGCGAGACCAAAAGATTTGCTGAAGCTGTGTGACCTTCTGCCAACGCTCCAAGCGATCGACGCTTAAATGAACCAAGAACCGCCAACCAGAAAATGGCTTGGCGGGAGTACATCAAGATCTGCAGGGTTCTCTGAAAGAGGAAACAATGGCCTTGAATTAATGATTGCACAGATATTGCACGCGAGAGTGCGCAGCTCATCAAATCCAAGAAGCAAGGATCCAAGGGTACGTCGAAGATGATATTCAGCAAGCTTGACTGACGCCTCCCACAATCCTCCAAATTGTGGCGATCTAGCAGGAATGAAACGCCAATCGATGCAATCGTTGAGACAAGCTTGATGCACGGGTTCCTGACGCCTGTCGCATAGGAATAGCGACTTAAGTTCCGCCAGTTCGTTCCGCTCTTCAACAAAATTTATGGCATTATCTGACCAAATACGAATCGGTCTTCCACGGGTGCAAATAAAACTGCGAAGAGCAGACAGGAGCTTCGACGTTGTAAGATCCTTCACAAGCTCGATGTGAACCGCCTTAGTGGAGAAGCATTTAAAAATGCTCATGTAACACTTAAGTGAAACAGACCGCAAAAGTACACGCCGGTAACTAAAAATGCACGAGATTCGCTGACTCTGTCCACCGGAAGATCTGCCATTATTTGCTCGAGAGTTCGAGGCTTCACTCTAAAGCTTCTGACACACTTTTGGATTACGTGTGCCACCGATTGGACAGTACGTTTGACGAATGATGGCTAATAGCGACTGGGGTCCAGCGTGAAGATGTTTGTCGTGTAAGTATTTCTGATTTCTGGACAATATAATTCCATCTGAAGGATAGAAGATTTCCCTTGACTCCATTGTCGTCTTGCGAAACAGCGTAGATGGAAGCTTGATAAGCACTCGTACTGACCAGACGTGTTTTATGTTTTGCGCTCCGCTTCCTTTCCATTTATTTTACAAATACAGCCGGTGTTTTTCAAAATAAACCTTGATAAAATCCCCGCTTAACCTACAGTAAAAAATCTGTTCTTTAACGCGAGTGTATACCTATTGTTTTGCATAAAAACCTAATTTTTGATATAAATTCTGTGCGTTTGTTATTCGTTTATTTGTGTGTTGCTTTCTGTAAGTACGCTCAAGCTGAATTTAGCCCTCTTTTATCCCGTAGCCTTTGCTGTAGCTATCACTCTCTTCCTAACTCAAACAACTGTTCTTTCTCTCTCGCTCTTTAAACGTTCCGAGCAATTGCGCTCTCTGTTTAGTAGCTCTCGCGATAACCGCTCTCTAACCTGCTCTCTTTTTTCACTAATTCCGCTTTGAGCTGTAAGGAAGTTCTCAGGCCGAGGTACAGCTTCTCAGTCTGTCCAGGGCCCGGTCCTTCCCCAAAGCAAAATTTGATGTGTGAGGACCTAAGGGGAGAGCCGCTCGTGGCGAAGGCGCGCCCGTGGGGTGGATCGTGGGACGGTCGGGCCTGGCCCGGCCACGAGGCGTATGTGAAGCCGTGCTTGGGAGCTGCAGAGACGTGCGTTGGGGGTCATGTGTGGCGGGAGACGGGGTTTGGGTCAGGGATCGGAAAGGTGTGGGAGAGGGGAGCCCAGCCTAGCAGATGCCGCATGATCCACGACTCACATCTGCGTCGCCGGGTCCCCCGGGCGAGGGTGTAGGAGAGGGAACCCAGTTTTGCGAATGCCGCGTGAATCCACGACTCACATCCAGCATCGCCGGGTCCCCAGGGGAGAAAGGTATAGGAGAGGGAAAACCCAGCTTGGTGAATGCCGCATGAATCCACGACTCACATCCACTTCGCCGGGCCTCCCGGGAAAAAGGAAGAGAGGGGGAGGTGGGTGAGTGACTCCTACGGGCGAATGTTCTGAGACAGGTGGGTTGAGGTTGGTGTCTTTATTGTTTTCGGATCATTTCCATACTTAAAATCCCGCGCCTGCAGCGGGGAAATAAACGCCAAAAAAAAGTATCATAAAAACGTGAGGTGGCTCACCCTTGTGTCCCTTCTTTGGGTCCTGTGCTCCCACGGCGGGTCCTCGTCACTTCGGTGGCTTCCTTTGCACACCGCGGTCACAGCTGGTTTTATTCACCGCGTGCGGCTTATTGCGTACACGGCGCGGTCACGGCTAGTTTTCACACTTTGGCTTCCGCCGCACAACCGGTCTGGCTCAGCCCTCGGAGATCACTCCCGAGCTTGGCTCGCCCTGGACCGTGCCAGGCCTCGGCTTTTCTTTTCGCAGCTTCTCTGCCGCTTCGCTACTCCGCCGCCTTCGGCTGCCACCAATTAGATAACAAGCCGTCGGGGCGGTCCCTCCAGGGGATGGTGTCGTGGTCAGTGTTGTGGAGGCTTATGCCTTCACACTCCCTTCCTACTTCGGGGTGGGGCGCGGTGAAATGCGCACCAAATTTCCGCTGATGCATACGCGGAAGCGTTGGCCGTCGTGGTGTTCTAGGCTGCGGATCCGGCTGCGCCCGTGACGCGCCGCGTTTGCCTGAGCGCTGGCGCCTTCCAGCAGGCTTTGCGGGATGCGGCGGTCAGGCGTGCTTACCCGTGAGTGTCTCGTGTTCATCCTGAAGGCCGAGGTTCCGGAGCCGTCGGGGCAGCGCATCGCCCAGACTGCCGTCGCTGATCCGTAGCGGAGTGGTGTCGTCCTCTCCTAGGAGCTGTACCTCGTCGTCGCTTGTTGTGTCGTTGTCCGACGCGGGGATGATCTCCCTCTCGGGCCTGGGTGGGGTGATGGGCCGTGGATGGGCGAGCAGCAGTTGCAGGGTCCTGTCGGCGTCCTTCCAGGTGGTCCAAGGTGCCACGTCAACCGCGATGTTGGCTGGAGTGTTCTTCTGGCAGTTGGCCGGCCCATCTTCGTCCTCGCTCACGTCCGAGTATGGGCCCGTCGTGGCCCGCTCGGCCTCCAGTTGGCGGTTTAGCTCCCGGACGGAGTGCTTGACCCATGGGCGGCCACCCGCTTTTCCGAAGCGTCGGTCGTGCAAGAACTCTTCATCGGTGCTTGCCTGGCAGGTCGGCTCCCAGTGCTTGTCGGCCTCCATCGTCGGGCTGGTGAACCCTTCGTCGGAGCTGCTGTCGTAGTTCGGCCGTGGGGTCAGCGGTTCTCCAATGCGGTACAGGTAATAGGGCGGTGGTGGTGAGGACCGCAGCCGCAGTTTGTGCGCGACTGGGGAGCTGCTCTGCCCCTCGGAGTTGGGGTCCAGGTTGACGTGTCCTGGCTCGACGCGTCTTCGAGTCGCGCGTGGGGTGACGGCGGTACCTGTTCCTTGGCCTGGATGCTTGCGGCGGCGTGGGCGTCTTGGTAACTCCTGCTGGGCCCGGCCTGCTCGGACCTCCTCGTCTGAGTCCGATGGCCGCATCGCCTCCACTGTGATGATCCTAGACAGGCTGTTTCGTGAAGTGTTCGGATGGACGACGTCGTTGAGCCATGCCCAGGTCATGGTTGTCGCCCGGCGGGGCGACGGTGGGCCTTCGGGGCGGGCCCGACGTCGGGATGGCCCAGGTGGCCTGGGTGGTCGTGGTATGGCTCCTGTTGATGGTCCAGGCTGCGTGGTGTTGCCCGGTTCTGCTTGCGGGGTCGGAGAGTGGTGTCTTGCTTGTGGTTGGCTGGTCGTGGACCGTGGTTGCCTTGAGCTGGGCGGCGACGCATCCCTAGGATGCCCCTCCGTGCCATCCTCTGCCTCTAGAGGCTGTGCGTCGCTCGTCCTTGGGTTGTCCATGTCGGATCTGGTGGGGGGAAGAAACCTTGTTTGGTTAGAACCTGCCCTGTGCTACTGATGTGCCCTGGGCCCTGGGTTTCCCTGATCGGTGCATTTCTAGTTTCTGGCTATTTCTTACTCTAATCCCTTAAGGGTAGTTAAGCTATCTTACTGAGTGTGGACGCGGTTTCCCCTTGCGGGGCGAGGACATTACGGCAGCGCACTACCATAAGTGGCCCTCATGAACTCGCGGTTTTCCTGGTGCTGGGGTCGTCGTCATCGTTGTCTTCGTTATCTTCGCTGGTGAGTGTGTGCTCGTTGTCGTGGTAGGCCTTGAGGTCGGCTAGTCCGGCCGTTCGTCGTTGTCTTCCCGGATGCTTCTGGAGTCGTGCTATGGTGGGAGAAATAAATTTAATTACTTTGTAAGGCCCCTCATTTTTGGGAGCCAGTTTGGCAGTGAAGTTGTCCGCCGCTTTGGACAGGTGAGGTTGGCGTAGCATCACGAGCGTCCCGATCGTGGGTCTCCATTCGCGTCGACGTAGGTTGTAGGTCCTGCTCTGCGTCTGTGATGCCTGCTGGGTATTTTCTTGTACGATGGCGAAGATTTCCTTGAGTCGCTTGGCCTTGTTGGTTGGGGTCTCTGTCACTTCGCCTAGTCGTGGGGTCGTCTCTTCGTACAAGGCTCCAGGCAACCGAGGTTCCCGGCCGAGTACGATGAATGTTGATGGCTAGGCTGAGTCCTGTTGGCTCGTTCCGTGTGGTTTTGTTGTGGCGTATAGGGCGCCGTATACTCCAATTCCATGCCTGCTAGTTTGCAGAACTTTCGGAAAGAGCGACTTGTGAATTGGGTCCCGTTGTCGCATACGAATTTCCGTGGGGTTCCGAATCGGCTCAGGATCCGTTCTCGGAAAGCGGTCTCCAGTAGTGCGGTGGTGGCCTTGCGTAGTGGGACCAACTCCACCCACTTGCTGAAGGCGTCGAAGAACACCAGCAACATAGTATTGCCGTGTTTGGATCGGGGCAATGGGCCAATGAAATCGGCGCAGACGATGTCCAGTGGTTCTTGGGCTTGGCGGGTGTGCATCTTCCCTCCTGGTTTGGTTTGACTCACCTTGTACTGCTGGCACTTGGTGCACTGCTGGATATATCGGGCGATATCTCGGTGCAGTCCGGGCCAGTAGTACCTCTGGGCTATTCGTGTCGCTGTCTTCCTGATTCCGAGGTGTCCTGCTGTCCGATGATCGTGGCACTCTTCTAGCACGCGTCGGCGGTGGTCCTTGTTGACACATAGTTTCCATTTGATAGGGTCTTCTTCGCTGGTTCTGCTGCTGGCTCGTTTGTATATTTGATCGCTCTCGATGATGAACTCCGGGTGTCCTTCCGGCTGTTCCTGGATCCGCTTGCGGAGCCTCTGCAGCCAGGGGCAGGGGCAAGGGTCCCGGTCTTCGTCCGCTCGCTGCAGGGTTTCTACTGGTTGTCGTGAGAGGGCGTCAGCCACAACGTTCTGGCTTCCTCGGCGGTAGTGGATGTCAAACCCATATTGCTTGAGCTCCAAGGCCCAGCGGGCGATGCGTCCCGTTGGATTATCGATGGAGTTCAACCACTTCAAGGCGAGGTGATCCGTGATTACATCGAAGTGGTATCCTTCCAGAAAGCATCGGAACTTCCGGATTTCCCAGACAATGGCAAGGCACTCTTTCTCGGTGGCCGAGTAGTTTTCCTCTGTTTTCAGTAGTCGACGGCTTGCGTAGGCGATGACTCTTTCTGCTCCGTCGATCTGTTGTATAAACAATACTGCTCCGAGGCCATACGAACTGGCGTCCGTTTGGAGTACGAACCGCTCGGCGAAGTCGGTGCATGCCAGGACTGGTGCTTGCGTGAGTCTTTCCTTGAGAGTCTCGAACGCCTGATGTTGTTCGTCTGTCAACTCCCACTTTTGATCCTTTTTGAGCAGGTTGGTCATGGGCTGGACCACCGTGGCGAAGTTCGGGACGAAACGTCGGTACCAGGATCCCGATGCAGCGTCGCAGTTCTTTCAGTGTGGTGGGCGGTGCTAGTTTCTGGACTTCGCTGACCTTATCTGGGTCCGTGTGGATGCCTTGTTCGCTGATGGCATGGCCGAGGTAGACTAAACTCTTCCTGAAGAAACTACACTTGTTTCTGTTCAGTCGGAGGTTCGCCTCTCGCAGCCTCCTGAAAACCTCGCGAAGGTGGTCGATGTGTTCTTCTAGCGTGGCTCCGATGACGATGATATCGTCGAGATATGCGAACGCGTACGTCTCCATGGTGGGTCCGATGACGCTGTCCAACGCTCGCTGGAACGTCGCTGGGGCTGAGTGCAGGCCGAAAGGCATGACCTTCCACTGGAAGAGTCCTCTGCCGGGGACGGTAAATGCTGTTGCCTCTCTGCTGCCCTCGGCCACCGGGATCTGCCAGTATCCGTTTTTGAGGTCCAGCGTGGAGATGTAGCAAGCCAGTGGAGCCGTAGCTGTCTCTGCCCAAGTCCTTTGCTTCCTGCTGTGTCCTGTCGGTGACTCCTGGTTCGACGAGCTGGCCCTGGATTGATCCAGTGGAGCCGTAGCTGTCTCTGCCAAAGTCTTTGTTTTGTTGCGTTGTCCTGTTGGTGTCGGTGTTCGTGCTGGGGAACTGGCCATGGTTGGTTCCATCGGTGTCGCAGTTCTTTCCGTCGGGTCGGGAAAGAACCCGTCGTAGGAGCATTAATTTTATAATTTTAATATTTTATGGGATAAGCTATAAAATAAATTTTTAAAAATAATAAATAAATTTAATAAATATATGCTTAGAATTAGCAATTATTAAAAAATGTGTTATAATTTATTTTATAAATTAAATTATTTATTATATTTTAATTATTTATTAGAATATTAATTTTAATCTTTAAAATTAAGAAATAATGATAAAATTAGTATATTTTTATGTTAAAATAAATTTTAATGAAAAGTTTAAGTAAAGAATTCGGCAAAAATAATGTTCGCCTGTTTAACAAAAACATGTCTTTTTGAATTAAATTTAAAGTCTAACCTGCCCACTGAAATTTTAAATGGCCGCAGTATTTTGACTGCCACTCGAAGCAGACGTGTTTTTCAAGCGGTCCGCTATACCGTCGTTCGAATAAAGTAAAAAGTGATTTTGCCAAGTGGAAAATATATCAAAATTGCCGCGAGATCACGCGCTGTTCGTGAGTGAAATCAGGTGTTAATTTGGTGAAAAAACAGAGCAGATATTTGCAAATTAATATTTGCAAAATAAACGCTAAAAACAAAAACGTGCGGAACCCTAGTTCGTAAACAAGTGCTAATAGTTCGACAACAAGTCGGAATAGTTCGACAGCACGTTCGAGTTCGAAGCTTTATTTCGAAGCTTTGGCTCGAGTTCGGAGCGTTCGGTTCGTGTCTCCGCTGAGACGTTGGTTCGAGTCTCCACTAAGTGCCGGGCAATGGAAATAGAGACGGAGGCCGACGCCAGCGACACTAGCCTGGCTAGTGTAGGGGCGAGCTCGTCGTCGAGCGTTCCCGCCCGCAGGCGGGGTCGGCCGAAGTCCTCAGCCGCCAAACAGGGAGCCAAGAAGATCGGGCTTGGGATTGGGCTAGCTGGAGAGCGGCCGATCCCAGCCGAGAGATCGCCGCCAACGTCGCTCCCCTTTGAGCAGGCTCCATGCACCTCTGCCGCTGCCGCTGCCAGTACTTCTGCCGCCGCTGCCACTACCGCTGCCGCCACCGCTGCCGCCACCGCTGCCACCACCGCTGCCATCATCGGCCATCATCGCAGAAATGTCTGCGATAAGGATGGCGGTGAGCGAGGCTGTCCTTAAGGGGCTGATGCCGCCAGAGGCCTCAATGGAAATCCTCGTCGCGACCAACCGGTACGACGAGTTGGTCATGGCCCTGGCTGGGGAAAAGGTGCACAGCCTTCCCAGGCCTGCCCGCACCGAGCGCCGTCGCTGCACCGATCGCAAAGCCTAGGGATACCTGGTCTGCTCTAATAAAGAGCAAAAACCCGGAGGAGACCAGCAAGGAGCTTGTGGAGCGAGTAAAGAAGACCGTGGTGCCGACTCTTGGAGTCCGCGTCCACGAGGTTCGCGAGCTGAAGAGCGGAGGAGCGATTATTCGCACCCCTTCAGTGAGCGAACTGAGGAAGGTAGTGGCCAGCAGCAAGTTCACCGAAGCAGGCTTGGAGGTCAAGAAGAGGCCGGAGACCAAACCTCAGGTCGTGGTGTATGACGTGGACACGTCCATAACACCGGAAGAGTTCATGGAGGAGCTCTTCACAAAGAACCTGGAGGAGACCATGACTGCCGCGGAGTTTAAAAAGTCGGTTCACCTGGGCAGTAAACCCTGGTCGGTCACCGACGGCGCCACGATCAACGTGACGCTAGAGGTCGACGCAAAGGCACAGGAGGCGTTGCGCGAATGCGTATACATCAAGTGGTTTAGATGCCGCTGCCGCTCCTTGGTCAGAACATACGCCTGCCACAGATGTGCAGGCTTCGACCACAAGGTGTCGCAATGTCGCCTAAAGGAGAACGTGTGCCACCGGTGTGGACAGAACGGCCACAACGTTGCACGGTGTCCCAACCCCGTGGACTGCCGCAACTGCCGCTTCAAGGGGTACCCTGCTGTCAGCGGCGTGCCCGATCTACGGAGCGGTACTGGCGAGGGTGCAAGCTAGACATTAATGTTTAGCTTCATCCAAGCTAATTGTGGCCGTGGCCGAGCGGCTGTGATGGAACTCGGAGCCATCATGCGCAGCTCTGGCCGTCAGTTCGCACTGGTCCAGGAGCCGTACGTCGATGGAGCAGGGCGGATTACCGGCCTTTCTTCTGGAATGCGAGTTTTCCAGGACCGCCGAGGAAAAGCTGCTATCATCGTCGACGAACCGGACGCCATCTGCATGCCAATGGAGACCCTTACCACGGATTTTGGAGTATGCGTCAGAGTTACGGGAAGATTCGGCTCAATCTTCCTATGCTCCGTGTACTGCCAATTCGACACCGACTTGGCGCCGTACCTCAGGTACTTAGATGCGGTGCTGCTGCTGGGCAGCCGCACTCCTGTCATCTTTGGGCTCGACGCGAACGCAGTATCCCCAGCGTGGTTTAGCAAGCTCTCCGGACACAATCGGGGGCAAGCTAACTATGCACGGGGTGAGCTGCTGTCTGAGTGGATAACCGAGATGAGAGCCGGCGTGCTCAATGAAGCCAGTCGGGTGTTAACATTCGATAACCGTAGAGGCCAAAGCGATATCGATGTGACAATCGTCAACCAAGCTGCGACTATGTGGGCCACATACGATTGGAAAGTGAAGGAATGGGACACCAGCGATCACAACATGATCCATGT